TGCGTGCGTGCGTGCGTGCGTGCGCAGATGAATTTGCCTCGTCAATGTCCCCGAAGTTTCCAAGGAGAAACCTCACGCCGTCCTGGACGCTGCGGACTTTGGGTGTTCGGCTTGGCAGACATGTCTACCGCTCTCCTCGGTGCTTGCCTTTGGCGGCAAGTGTGTGACAAAGATCTCTCTGTCGTCAAGCTTGGGCTCCACCTGAACCAAAGGCTTTGTCAAGAGGAACGAGATGCGATAAACAGAGCCAAGCGACAACGATATACATTCAAGCAACATTCCCACATTCCGAGTCTGCCGAACACCTTACACTTCTAGTCTGCAAGCGCCCCAAAAGTTTGGTACCTGGCAAGAGTACCACAAACTATCAAAGGCATATAAGAATCCGGGCGTGACGGCCCAATAGTCGGACTTGTCCTGCTTATAGCTACATGAGTGACGGCAATGCACCTGCAGAGTAAAATCATGTGATTCTAACATGCCCCGTACGGACGAACCAAGGCCCTTGTATCCTTCCGCTGCTTCTGGGATTTCTGGGTCGGGGTTTTGTCTCCCATGTTTAGACTCAGCCCACCTCCCGCGGCAAGGAAGGCATTGCCAGCTCGTCAATGTAGCAATGAAACCTTTCGCTCATCGTCCGGCAAATGACTGAGCAGATTGGCAGCTGACGGTGACTTGGCCAGGAACGACGTCACAGGCTTTTTGGGCTCAGGCTCTTCCTCCAGCTTTCAGCACTACGATGCACCAAGGTCAAGGACATGTCTAGATTCTTGGGTTTGCCAGCCTGCATCACGCAGCGCAGGCGAGCCTCACACTCACTTGCACCGAAAGTCGATCGAAACATGTCCTTCCGCCTCGCAAGTCTTGAAGTTGGCCGTGAGAGAATCGCGGAGAAAGACACGGCAGGCTTCAACACAGCTTGCTCAATTCTTTACATCCTGGTTTGGAGACAGCTGCAAGCTCAGCAGTGTCCTTTCTCCTCTTTGTTTGGATATGCCTCACTGGTCACTTGCCTGCTTTCATCCATCTTCAGCCCTTTTTGTCAGCCATTTCCAAACCCCAGCCTCATGTCCGTTTTACACAGCTACATCGCGATCATGAGTTCTACGATGACTTGCTCTCCGCGACGTCTCGTTTCCAATTCGACCCGCTTCAGTTTCACAGGTTCTGTGCAAATTTTATCGCTGTGCTATCTGCTTCACACAGCAAAGCCAATTCAACACCGAATGCTCAAAGGCATGGACAAGGGCAGAAACAAACAACAAAACAGCCGAAACCAAGGTAAGGACCAAACTTCAAAGACGTCGTGAGCACTACTAGAACCAATCATCTGAGGCTGCGGCTCCCATGAGTGAAAGCCCGTTGAGTGCAGTCAAGGCTGAAGACCTCAACGAAAAGCAGCGGCTGGTGAAGGCACGTTCAACGATTCGATGCCCAAGCGAGCCGCGCAGCGCTCGATGTGTCGAAGTCAATCAGAACACCTTCGGAGCAGCTTGCAGCTCGCAAGGCTCGCTGGTGCAATGCTGGGGCCGACCCCTTCTTGCTTCACCAAAAGACGCACCCCACTTTGATAACCTATTCTCTGTCGCTTTTACCGGAAAACAAACCCCATTGGGTATGCTGTGGCTCTTTCCCTTTCGTCCTTGAGTACCGAAAACCATGTTGTTAGTCCACGCTAAGCCGAAGCTGTGTGGCCCGCACTGGCAGTGTGTTCAAATCATTCTTACCATATTCATATCTGAGTGCCAAAAAATCTGCAGGAGTCGATAAGGCCCATGCCCTTCTGACCACTTGACATACCTTCCACTCGGGTTCTCTGCACCGTGCCATAAGGCCTGAGCTCGCGATAGCAGCGCAGGCTAACTTAGCTTGTAGGGGCTGCTCCAGGAGCTCAAATTCCGCACATTGGGGCCCAGCGAAGCCAAAAGCTCGACATCCTGACGCGAGATTCCGATCATGTTGTGTTACCACCAAGCCTCACCTGTCCTCGCCTATCCTCGCCTTCTCTGCCCAGCTATCCGGCAAGGGCCATAGAAAGATGCCGTTGGCCTTCACCCTGACGTCTCAAAACACCGCACGAGCATCATCATTACTTTCCCGACACCTCCTTTTCCGTGCCATCTTTGGAGGTGCACCTTTCTGCAGTCGAATGACACACAAACGTCTGACTGATTGCAGTAAACCCCTTTTTGCTGCGGCCTGTCTGAGAGTTGAATCTAGCAACGACAAACTGGCAACTACGAGGAGTGCCACCTTGACCTTCCTGCATATTTGCTGCTTGTCCTGCCTGCAGTCTCTGTACTTTATGGCAGAAGAACTCAGTAGACACTATCATGCTGATGCTGATGCTGCTGCTGTGGCTTCTGTGACTTCTGCATGTCGCGACAACAGCGGCAGCAATCAATGCTGGTCGCGGCGTGATACGGCTGCGCCCGCTGGCCTAGTGCTGGTGCTTGTGATGGTATTAGGATACTGGGCGCTGGGCCGCTCTGCCGTTGGCGCTGGTCGTTTCGGTGAGTGGCAGTGTTGCAACGATGACGATGACGGCAGGGATGATGGCGGTGTTGCTACCGATGATGGAGATGAGGGTGAGGATAAGGATGAAGATGAGGGTGAGGGTTAGGGCTGGTGGTGGTGGTGGTGGTGGTGGTGGCGATGATGATGATGATGATGATGATGATGATGTTGAAGATGATGATGATGATGTTGAAGATGATGATGATGATGATGATGTTGAAGATGATGATGATGATGGTGGTGATGATGATGACGATGATGATGATGATGTCGATGTAGATGTCGTCGCTGATCAAGAGGAGCAGGAGGAGGAGAGGAGGAGGAGGAGGAGGAGCAGGAGGAGGAGGAGGAGGAGGAGGAGGGGCGAGGGCGCACGTCATAGTTCTAAGGCTCTAAGGCTCTGATTGGCTGTGCGCTTCGGTTTCTGGCCACACTTCCGTTCTTTTGCTTTACTGACCCTTGCCTCATCCCCTTCTACCACCGCATCAACGATTACAGGTCGCAGGTGCATGCGTCAGCTGCCATGCATCCGAGAATAAGAAAGAGCAGCAGCAGAGTGGTAGATGCAGAACTGCTTCATCAACTAACACACATCACAACTCGGTGGCCCTTCCGCCGAGGGTATCAAAAAACACAGACATCGGATAGACACCCGCACCAGCTTTCCGGGAAGTCTTGGAGCAATCTCTGATACGCTCTGCAGCAAGGCGCTGGCCTGAATCATCTGCTATTCGCAGGCTGAAGCATTCGCTCTCCTTTGGAGCCTGCAGGAAGATGACGCAGAGTGGCCCGCACAATTCGCTCCGCGTCGGCGATGGCCTCGTGATTGGCCGTCTGCTTCTCGGAAGCCGACCGCATGTCAAACCCATGCAGTGTCTGGACCTGAGATGTGGTCTGGCGCCGCGGGTGTGAAGGAACCAAAATACGAGTCACGGAAACTGCTGTTCGAGCCCTGTTGCAGGAACCGTTCGCGAGAGTAAACGCAACCAAGTAGCTGGCACCACTGCATAAGAGAGCCCAAACCCATACCACGACACGCATGGCAACTCCCTCGAACCCAACATTGCTGAAATCCGATATTCCCAAATCCAATTCTGTAAGAGCTCAGCAATCTTGACGTACAGATTCAAGCGACACACGACAGCGCCCTGAATTGCCTGCCCAAAAGCAACCAGCCGGTTTGGAATGCTGTGACCAAACTCTCGGGGCGGGAATTCGATCCCCCAGTAGAAAGGGCTTTTGCCGAAAGCATTCCAACCCGTCTGGAAGCAATTATGCTGTGAGCTCAAGGCAATCAATCACTGCCGGAATTGCTGTTACACTGGGGCCGGGGTGCCTGTTACCGGAGCAGCTCTGTTCGCGTAACGCGGACGGTCAGTTAAAGTCACGAAGCGCACTGCGTAGCGGCGTAGCCCGGCGCGGATAGCTGAAAATTAACTGAGCTCGTTGCGGCAGCCCTGGCATCACTGGCATTCTGAAAGCGAGCTAACGCCTGCCAGTTTGGTGCCATGACGTGCATTGCGGCTGCGCCTGCGCACTGAGCCTGCAGACCGTTCTGTCCTTGTGAAATCACCTGCGAAAGCATCTGCGGCCGCACCGGAAGCCAATGATCTTCGCTGAGGACTGCGCTGGAGGCCCTTCTAACGGTCCCAGGCGCTGCAGCAAACTTTGCACCTGAGGCCGAGCTCTAGAGAAACTGAAACGACTAGACATGTTGAAGATCTGTGAAGTTCTGAAGGCCTTCTGGGGCAGGACCTCCAAAGCTGCGGGCACCACCTCGATACATATTCCCTCGACTCGAACTCGAGATCCTCGAATCGCAATACTGACTATACTGAGCGCTACTGGGCACCGAGCCCAGGAGGCTGGGAAGTTCTGAGCAAGTACCGCCTGCGAGGTCGCTCGGGCGGTCGAGAACTTGTTGAATTGAAAAAAATTGGCTCGTGCCAGACTCCGACAGGCTCCGACGGGCTGGACGTGGGAGGATTTCAGGCTTCTTTAAAGCTGATGTTGAAGAGACGATGAGAGGATTCGGAATGATGCCGAGTCTAAGCTCGAGCCCAGGCTTACAGCCGTTCGACCTCTGACACCCGACATGGCAAAATCTCGCAATTCTAGAACGTTTGCTGCCGTATCCCCATCCCTGTTCAGCGCAAGCACAGGGTTGCTGATTGAGCGCACCGTCGCAGGTGCCTTTCCACCGGCGTTGTTTGCCTGATCGCATCGACAATGCTCATCAACAGAGTGCTGACAGTGCTCATCGGTACGACCTCCCCGACCTGCACAATTCTTTACCGACGCTTCCCGAAGAAAACAACTTCACTTCGGCCATGGTGCCGCTGACATGGCCCAGATATGGCTGGCGACATGTGCCACACAGCAGAACAATCAACAGCGTCGAAGGCGGACATATACCTAATGCCCACATGCCGAAGAAACTGTTAGGCAGCTCTGCTCTGCACATGTCGTCCTAAGGGTAAGTATGGACATTCTAGATGAATGTTAGCGATGTCATTTGGCCATGTGACTGCTGGGCTTCAACCCAAGAATGTTGTAGCGTGTCCCTCTGCATGCTTCCCATGCGTTCTTGCAGAAGCGGTGTGCTGGCCAGTTCCGCGCAGAATCAGATGCAGCTTGGCAATCCTTATCCAAAGCAGCTGCGGCGTGGCAGCAACTTCTTACGTGCGTTGTCAGTGAAATCAATGAAAGCTACATTCCGTGCTCTGGATTCGCATAGGATTCCAACAGCTTCTGTGTGCAGTTGCGCGTGCGATATTAGCATGTTTGCAGAACACTGCTTTGTAGGTGCCAACTGTCATGCGGTGAATCGCTGAATCACGTTCCGAAAATTGCATGCTTCGCGGAAAGTTTCAAGAACCGCATCACAAAAAGTATACACAAAGTCGTGTCAGCTCTTTGCTGTCGCAAGCAAGGCTGCAAGAAGTGGAGTCCACAATGTGGTGTTGTCGTCGGGGCTTTTCCAATTCAGGGTGGGGATTCATGCTTTGCCCCCAGACGCTGTGTTCGAGCTACTATGCCAAAGATACTTGAGTTTCTTGACGAGCTTTCAGCCTGAAAGTGCTATTTTCTCAGGCTGGCACGGGCTTAGTGTTGTCACTGTTCGTACTTGTAAAAGACCCATTCCCTTGGCAGCTGCCCAAGCTCGTGCAATTTTCCTGAATGACCCGATTTGGGCTTTCAGCAATAGGCCTCACGGACCACGCACATCGTGGTTACAAGTCGTTATCGAGTTTCTTGCCACCTACGGTTT